ATCTCCTAGTCGAGCAGTCTCGACTAGAGTCTTCTTACTTGTTATACCCTGAACTCATTGACAATGGGAAATGTATATGATTATATTTAATAATGGTTTTGTTGAAATGTATCTAACAGGCAGGCGAGGAGGCGGCGGAGAAGGTATATCTGTCCGTCTATCCGTATGCTTAAACGCGTCGATCTCAGAAGATATAAGAGCTAGAGACTTGAATTTTTTTTTTAACTGTTCGTATGTATACTGCGGAATCGGCAAATCGACAAATGTTTAATGTTAATTTATATATTTCATTCATATAACTTAACCCCACCTCCTTATCCACAAATTTGTAAAATCAGAATTTAGAATTATAACGCAGTCCATAGCTGAAAGTCCTTTTAAATAAAATCGAATTGAGGCATTTGTCGACCGAAGTGTTCTTATGTCTTCAACTCGAAATTTTTAAATAGCTTTTTAGTTGACTTTAAAAGGTTTTAGGAATGCTTCCGTTTCAGTTTCTGTAGGTAAATTAGAGTAAGTCTCTCTCCAGGAATGCACGTAAAGCTAACTAAGCCAGAAAAAAACTAAATTGAGTTTTGTATAATTTCCCTTGTGCAACATTTGCAATTTGAATGTGTCGACGTAAATTTGATATGCAGGTCTCGATTTACAAAACATTTTCTGGACACATGTGGGATCTTGTAAATTAATTATTTAAATTAATTCAAGTTTTCCAAGCGTCCACAAAATGTGAGTTGGGCCAAGGCCCAACGGTATTTGCATTAGCTGGCGACCTCGAGCACTTGTTAATATATTATGGATAAATGACAGTTAGTTAACTGGCGGAATCCGCCCCACGCTGGGCACAACCCGAGGTAAATTGAAGGATGGACATGTGCTATCCCCCGCAGACCTCATTCCAGGCTTTTCCTTGGCTACTTATCAGCATCCAAGGCTTTGTTTGGTTAAGAACTCAAAATGGCAAACAATGGCAAGCATTGTAATAAATCCTGTGCAATGGAATAGGATCCCTTAAAAGAACATGATATCAGCAGTTTTCCCAGTTTCCACAGCTTCCCCCATTGTCCTGAATGTTAGCGTCTGATGGCTGTTTACTTGTATGCTAATAAATTTTTTTATGACAGCACATGGCATCGTCCTGCCTCTGCTATACTTACACTTTCCAGTTGGGCATGGTGGTTTTAATGAATGCGTTGCACCTAATTTCATAAGAGTATGCGTCTGATCTAGTGCTATGACCTGTGGAGCTGTTTAGGCAACGGTAAAAGACTAAATCATATTATATATAAGTAATTTGATATTTATCAATGTTGAGCATATATGCAACCTTAACTTTACTAGTAGGTTATCTATGTGTTAGAGATTAGAGTAAATTTGGTCTGTAAGATCTCTCTGAGTCTAAATTCTACATTTTGCTTGACTATAAGAGAAACGTTAATACAATTCCTAGGTGCAGAGGTTCATTTTGTCGGCCACGCTCGACTATTGTGAGCAGTCTCTGTTGTTTATCCCCTTCAGGCTGTTGACTCCTCTTTACATTTGCAAAGCCTCAGACATGGCGGCGCTAGTTGCCTGCCTTCCATGCCACCAGTCTTTGCTTCGCTGCTTAATGCCTCATTGAGTTTCACTCAAATTTCCAGCCAGCAGCAAAAATCCAGTTAGATCACATTCATTTTTATTTTTATTTGGGTGCGTGTGTTCGTTTTTATTGCTCGTAGGTCAGAGAGGCGGAAGTTTATTACAAAAGTTGAGTTGAGCCTCGGGCAAGCAGTTTTGGATTTACAGCACAAAGGCAAAATCCCGTAGGTGCCCAGTCGCTTGTGCTTTTTTGGGCAGTCCAATAAATTCTCAGAGCTCTGTCCTGTGTGTGTACAACAACAGTTGCATGTATTTATTTGATTGCTAATGTTAAATGTCTAAGCGCCATAATTGACTGCCCGTTAGGGCCTGACAGTCGGGGACAGTTGAATCCATGCCAATGTCAGCGCCCAGACCCGTAGCCTCGCGAGTCGCGACACGCCCGCGACATGCCTGGCTCTTGTTTTCCACAGTAATTGAGCGGGCGCAAGGTCACAGAGCCTGCTAATTTATGCAGACGGCCATTAGAAAACCTATAGGAATAAACAATAATAGCTATCAGATAAATATATTAAAAACAAGGCCTGAAAATAAATTCACTTCATGCAAAACCCTTTGCCAATCAGTAAAGTGAAAAAGTTGGCACCAAACTAAAGAACAATGGGAAACACTGCAGATCTAGTGACTTAACTTAACTGCAGAACTTTGAGATACCCTGAGATCTACCCTAGATACTCATATACAGCCTGAAAACAAAATGGTACCAAGCAGAAGCTTACATTTTAATCTAATAAATCAACGACAAGAGTATATAGAGATTCTTAAATTGGATTTCCATTAACATCCAGATTTTTTTTGGTATAACCCCTGTATAGCTGCAGTTAATTAGCTACCCTATTTGGGTGCTTTTTCATCCGATTGCTAGTTTTTCCTGAAATGTCTTTTTTAAAATTATTTTTCGTAACTGCATCATACTTATTTACCTTTTACAGGGCATACAAAACGGGCCAAGTTTACTCCCCTATGTATAAATGCAGTGCATGTTGCCAAAAGTTCTTGTTTTATTGAAGCTGACCGTAAATTTGAATTGTATTTCCGTTGTACCTAAAGGTAGACATCAATTTTTATTATAGCCTCCATTTTTCGGTAGCCAGTTAAAATTCACTTGTTCAATTATTGATTTTCTCCGTGCACGAGAATAAATCCAAATTAAGCCAAAATGTGATTGTTTGAGTAACGTATAAATGAAAAAAAAACCCCCGAGCTTGAGTCAAATGTCCTCCTTATAGGATATAACTAGTCTATAGATTCAATACTAGATTAGTTATACTACATAATAGAGAATCTAGGGACTGGATCCTACACACTACATTCTAAATCCTGGATATTAAATGCTAAATTTGAAGTCTCTAGTATTTGAAATACGCCTTTAACAAATTTATGAGTGAGGGGATGGATATTGGGGTAAGTTTTAACAAAAAACGAAATTGTATAAATATAGCAATAAAGGTGTATGAGGTATAATCACTAACTATGTTCCATAATTAAATAACTTATTTCCGATAAGGTTTTAATCCGATAACAAAATAACGACAGAAGTTACCGATTTTTAAAGATAAACTCACTAAGCGCGCTATATATACGGGCATTTAAAAAATTTAAACTCAAAAATCTTTTGAGGGCGGGTGGAAAAACAGACAGACGGACAGAGCCAAATCGACTCAGCTTGTCGCCCTGATCAAGAATATATATACTTTGTGGGGTATACAAATACCTAAATACTTCACTAGATACTAGCCATACAATGTGGTTAGTAATACTAGAAATCGGATTCGGAATGTTAAATATTAATTACAAAATGTTAAGTACTACCTACTAGATTCCAGATTAATGTTAATTACTACAATTTCTATATATTAGATAAAACTATATATATTATATACCTCTGTAATTGAGTTAGTTTTACATTTTGTCAATCATGTGCTCCACCAAGTGCTTGACAAATACAGTTAAACGAATGTCTGCACAGTTTTATTGAACGCTCTTTGAGCAAATGCGATGTGAAATTTGACGAAATGTGAAGGTCCTCAAATTGTTTGGTCAATGGATGAGCGGAGGCATAAGACGGCAGATACACATAGAGCAACGCCCACCTGCATAAACGTATACCAATTGAATTGAATGACGTCGGTATGGCTACAGCATTGGGTGTCGACTATTTTTAGCTGATGCCTATCTTGATGTGATAGGTACGCTCCACTAGTCCATGTCGGCGATGGCCCAAAGAATATAACCAGCCATTTGTGTGATCAATTGCCTGCGATGGCACTAACACAAAAGTTGGCTGCGACAATTGGCATGCCCTGTACTTATCGCAAATGGGCCATAAGGTTTCTGCATTCTGATTTAGGTTAGTCGATTCACTCAGTTGATGCATGAGTGTGAGCATAGATGGATATAAGGGTGGGGGGCGTTAAATTTTGACAAAAATCGAAATTCTATAAAGTACATAAAAATCTACATTTAAAATTTTGTGACAATGTTTTTAATAACAACAAAATATAGAAACAACTTATCGATTTTGAAGAAAAAATCGATATACGCGTAGTATATACGGACGTAGGAAAAGAAATTTCAAGTCTCTAGCTTTTATATCTTCTGAGATCGACTTGTTCAAACGGACAGACGAACATACGAACATTCCATTTTCAGTGGGCTCAGGGTATATACTCGATAACTACATCGGTTTTAAGATATGCTTAATTGCAAAATTATTATTTTTAAAATGAGTTTATATAATCATCATATCATGAATTACACTTACTTCTCTGTTTCCTAACCCGTTATTTGTTAAATGTTTAGTGTCCCTTGCCGATATACATACTCGTATGCAAGTGTGAAATCACTTTTGCATCTTACGATGCTTTTCACCCAAGATTCTTTTCTTTATTCAATAGTTCTTTCGACTTTTTAGCCCGAGTAATTTCTGGGGAATACTAGTTGAATCTCCTAGTAAACTATGGAATTTCTTCGTCGGTCACACCCGACGGCAGTTGTTAAACCTAATTGTGGCTTTTGTGGTGCGGCCTTCAGAAGGTTAATTTAAGAGGGAGGCAAGGAGAAGGTAAAGGAAACGAGGCTTGTTGGCTGCTGTTAAATGACAGCTTTTACGACAAGAAACGTGCCACACGTGCTCTATCTTGGGACCATCTTTTTGTCAGTCAGTTAGTCAGACCGTCAGTCGGTCCGTAAGATGACAGGATGGCAGGTAGGAAATATAACAAAGCTTCACTTACACTCATTGCGCTCGCAAATAATTTATGTAAATCTGGTTAATTCTAAAGGCGCCTGCAAGGTGGGGTGAGCATGTGTACATAAATGCTGGGATGGCTGCTTGGAGGGGTGGACGGGTTGAGCAGCGTCTGCAGTTTGTTATGTAAGTCAAGGCTTAACAGGCAGAGCAGTGTCGCGACTTTGCCGATTGGATTACGAGCTAGTCTCTGTTTTCAGTCACGGTCAAACACCCAGACACCTGTTGTCGTTCGGCCATAATCCTTGTCTACTTTGGAGGGCCACGAACATCGCAAACATCACGGAACATTCTGTTGCCTATGCGACCCTTGGCACTCAGGCTCAATTGTTGTTGCAATCATCCGCCGATTCGGTTTGACTGCCTTCCTGACAGTCTGTGTGTCCCACTAATGAGCTGCCTACGTCAAGGATTGTTTACTTCCGCGTCGGATGCATTGTCGCTATTGTCTAGGCCACCATTGTCTATTTGTTGGTGCAGGTAACTTTTGTGTTCTTCTCCTTGTGCTAGGCCAGCCTCGCCTTGGCTTCCGACTTGTGGGGCAGGAGGCAGGCAAACCGATGACAGTCACAACAGCTGCCAGTTATACTTCGTACCTTTCCCATAGACAGCCACAAACAATACGCAAGCACATGAGCAACCATCTGATTGCTGTGGGCCTATGTGTGTGTGCTTGCCCTCGCATTTCCTGCACTTTCACTTTCATATGTAGTATATTCCATATTCCATATTCCGTATTTTCCGTGAACTTGTCAAATAACGAATTTCTCTCTTATTTTTATTCTACTTGAAGGCCTTGACCATTGAAGGAGGGTGCTCGCGACATTTAAATGAAGAAGCATGGGGAATGGTATGAACAAGGTAAGAGGTCACCAATTTTATACATATGTACATATTTACACAAATACATATTTTGTCAAAAGTGAGTTGGGTAAGTGACAGCAATATGTATTATTGAAGAATCAATATCAATTGATTACAGCGTTCGTTCAACTTTTCAATAACCATTCAATCTCTTGGAAAAGTGAAATTAGATAAATTTTTTAACATTTAACATGCATGGAACATTGTATTATTATAATTGTTTGTTCGTTTTAAGGCCAAGGCTTAAAGCAGACATTGGTCGCAATTGTAGGGGAACTAAATTTCAGTTTGTATTAAACAGATAACTCTGTTTGCTCTAAATATACATATACATATGTATTTTTACTGCGTGGCTAGAAAGGCGACCCTGAGAGATAGCTGTCAAGGCCAGTTGCCTGTAGCAACAGCAAACAACACAACAAACAGACTCGTATTTTCAAAGAAACAAATCTCACTGTATGTATCAAATATTAATGCTGTAGACAAGACTATCTTTTAAATCAGAATTTGCAAGATGGATTGGCATATGGGAAATGTAACCAAATGTTTTCATTAACTAATTTTGGACTATTAAAAGAGCTATTCCTTTATTTGGCAGGTCTTGCCGGGACTATATGTGGGCAACTACCGCGACTCCAAAGACTATCAGCAGCTGGAAAAGTTCAAAATTACTCACATAATAGCCATACATGACAGTCCTAGGCGCCTCCTGCCGGTATGTTCCTACACTCGCTCCTAAGCTCGCTTAAACTAAGGTCCTCTTATCCGCATTTAGGACAAACACTATCTGTGTGTGATGGCTTCTGATACTCCAGATCAAAATTTGTCGCAGTACTTTTCTGTGTGCAACGACTTCATTCACGCTGCACGGCTAAGGGAGGGCAACGTGCTGATCCACTGTCTGGCTGGGATGTCGCGCTCCGTGACTGTCGCGGTCGCCTACATCATGACCGCTACGCACTTGAACTGGAAGGAGGCTTTGAAGGTGGTGCGCGCTGGTCGCGCAGTTGCCAATCCCAACACGGGCTTTCAAAATCAGCTGCAGGAGTTCGAGCAGTTCAAACTATCAGAGGAGCGTCGACGTTTGAGGGAGCGTTTCCCGTCGTCGGCGCTGGAGCAACTAGATCGGGTGAAGTGTAGCGTGGCCCTGGATAGCTACCAAGAGCTGCTGCAGAACAGAGACATATGCGAGGGCAACTGCTCTCGCGGCGAAAAGTGTCCCACAGGTGCGGTCAATCCCATTTACACAATTGGGGGTCTTGCTTTTGGCGGTCAGGAGGGCTCTCGCGCCTCAGTTGGGCGGAACGTGGCATACACCCTAAAGTTCATCGTTGACAAATGGAAGAAGAGAACCTTTAATCAGACGCACAGCTCAGATACCTCCGTGTATGAGTTCGAGAGCGAGCTCGAGACTGCGTCCGAGAAAAATGTAGACGACTCGAACGACGAATCCAGCTCCAGCTCTGGCGAGGAACTTATGCCCAATGTCATCTACTACAATGCAGACGTAAACGCTGGACGCTTTGTCAACAACCTGGACGAGGAGGCTGAGGAAGATGAACGCCACGGCTCTTACACTGCGCATATGAAAAGGCTGGCTAAGAAGTTTGAGGCTGACCAAAAAGCCGCCGCACCCGTAAAACCGAAAGCCCGCGCCACTGGGGGCAAGCGGTTGCCCAAGAAACCAAAGGCCAAGCCCTAATCTTTCGATATTAGAATTCTAGACTAACTAAATAAATATTCGACCAAACATTTGTAACTAAGTTATGCCCTTTGTATTTTGTATTTGTTGTTTTTATTAGGCGTTTGTAACATGGACCCCACCAAAGGACTCTTCCGCCGGCGTCCGTCGAGTGCCTCCAGCACGCAATCCAGAGTGCGCGCCCAGTCCTCTAATGCCAACTCCAACAGCAACTCATCGTCAAGCTCCTTGGGCGTCAGCAGTGCTGCTGGAGGCCTTGTCGTCGTAGCCCAATCCTGTCCCACGTCACCAAAGCGGTCACCTCTGCAGCGTCGCTCCGTTGGCAACGAGCGCATACCCGAGGACGAGATCGCCCAGCAACCAGTTACCTCAAGCGAAGCCGCCGAATACGCAGCAGCCATTGAGGATGCTCGCCGCGAGCAGCGACAGCAGCAGCTGCAACTCCAACGGTCTCCGTCACGCCATTGCTACAAGTCAGGCGGACGAGTCAACTCCATAAGTGGAGCCGCGCGCGTGAGCAGCGCGGGCAGTCAAAGGGAGAGGCCCGAAGCTGTGGACAACAATGGCAGTGCCGCGCAGCTGCAGCGCAGCGCCAGCACGGTCAGCGGCTTTGGTGTGCGTCCCCGCAGCAGCCCCGCGGGTCTGCATGCCTACACGGGTAAGTAGTTCGTTGAAAAGTCCATGAGTTGTTAAAATATATTATATACAATTTGTAGGCTCGGTGCCGTCATCTGTGCACGGATCGCGGGTCGATCTTCGAGAGGTTGACAAGGGCTCGGCTATCTACTTGGGCTGTTCTGCGCCGCGTGCTTCAACGTTATCGATAACTTCGTCCCGTGGCTCATCGGGCGGCTCGGCACCGCCCTCCCCATGCAATACCCCTCCTTCCAGCCCACGTCATGGTGTCAGAAGGTGAGATAAAAGTAAACCATGTCGATAACCAAGTAATATCCCTCTCCACTTCCCCATAGATCAACTAGCTTGGCGAAAAAGACCAGGTGAAGCCGTCTACTCTCATCCAGCTCCGCTCGAATATTTGTCTACAGCAGAAGCTGCACACTCGTTTGTAATCTCTTTGCGCGCTAACTTCAGCGAAACCTATTGAGGATCACTTCCTATGATTATCAATTAGACTCAGGTCTACAAGAGATGAACGCCGATCTCTTGCCGCTATTTTTACACATCTACTTCTTCTGTAGGTGCCCTATACCATTTTGTAGGCTTAATAATTCGTCTCATTCGGAAGCAGTCTTAATTTGTGCACAATTCAAGTATTATATATTTAATATGCTCCATATAAACCTCACCAGATGTTAAGCAACCCAAGATGTTAGTCTTAAGTTTTAATATGAGTGACAGTTTAAGGGTACACAGGCTCATATTACATTGCTCTTTCATTGGGATCTTTCATTTGTGGCGCTCTCAGAATTAAAATCGGATCCCGCAGGTAAAATAGCTTTCTTTCCTAATAAAATTTTGGTGAGGTTATTTATAGGGCTCATCTATCGTCCATGAAACTATTGGAAACTTAAAAATCTCTTAAGCTTAGAGTTGTTGATATATGTATATATATATATACATATAAGAGCATTCGTCAATTGAGTGCAAGTCGATATAATCAAAACTTGGAGAAAGAGGAAACTTTACATATTAGTAAAATTGTTGACACTATTTTTTCAGAGACGCATTTAACAAATATATATGTATATATATTTGCGAATTACCGTTATATGTATAATTATATTTATAAACAAACTTGAAGCAGTGCTCCAATAGAAGAGATAGGCACTGGTCCATTGGCTAGTTTTGTACCGAGTCGAAATGCTCCGGGCAGTCGAACAATAATCGAGACATACATTATTATATAAACATATTTATATACATTACATATACATATACATATTTGAAAATCTTTAAATGCATATTTTGAGTAGATTTGTTGTTGCAAGCATTTTGATAGGAATACCAAAGAAGCCCCATATATATACAAATACGATTCATGTCTAGGATGAATCGTAGATATTGTTATTTAGTAACTTGTTGAATTGTGTTTTATTGAAACCACCAAAAACAGAGCACACTCATACAATACATTTTTGACATTGAACAAAACAAATTACAAAATTAAATGATACGCATTGAATTGCGCTTTAAAGCTTGTGGCTTATCAAATTAATAAAAAGAAACAAAAGTACATACATATATATATATATATATAAACCTAGCAAAACTAGGTTCAAACAAAAGCAATCAAATCGAAATTGAAATTCCATAATAGAGTTTATGTATCGTATTTTAATATATATGTACATATACATATAAAATACATAATTATTTACAAGCAATTTGAAACTTTTGCAAACTGGCTTTCGCAAGACTTTAGAGTTAAATGAAAGGGGAGAATTTTATGCTAAGGACGTTCCGAGAAAAATGCACAAATTGGTTTTAAACTCAAATGTAAAACACGTTAAGTTCAAACAAATTATAAATACTACTATAAAACTACACGCAATATAAATATAACAATAGTGAATGTGTCTTCAAGACAACAAGAAATTTCAAATAAAAACACAAAGAAAAAAGCAGATGATAAGTCTTCACCTATATAATCGTATATTTTACTACTAATTATTATTTTCAATCTAAATCTAAGCTACTGTCTAAAATATTGTATTTATTATGTATACAACGACTAGATTTGTAATCACTCTCACAATATGCTGATACTATTACACATACATATATAGCAAAGTTAGATCGGCTTGAGATATGGGCTTGGCGCGTAATAGAGAATATATATGAAATTACATACTATGTAGGGGCCTTATGCACCCTCTAACAACACTTAAAGCAACTGACAAGAGCTGAACACCATTATATAATACTTCTCATAATCTTCAATTTTGCGAAATGAGCTTTGTTCTAATCTAAACCTCAACATGATTTAAGAGCAGAGGCGTATTAACCGTCGGATAGGAGAACGGCCTTTGTTTTTGCTGCTGCTGCTCCTGCGCGTCGAGGTGTTCGATACTTTGGCAGGATAGCGTTGACTCGTCATGGCGTGAGTGTGTAGAGCCGCCGGATGAGCGCCGCAGGCCGGTGTAGGAGTCCACCTCCAATAAGGCTTCGTCACTGAAAAGAGGAAGAGCCATATTAATTACGCTCTACCATAATGAAGCTAAAATCAAATCAAACCTATGATATCGATGATGCTCCAACATATTGCCAGCTGCGAAGCGCAGCTTCTTTGGCGACTCGAGACTAGAGGATCGAGTAAGCGAGTTTCGTGGCAGGTTTTTCTGCTTCAAAGAGGACCGTATGCCGCAGTCACTGGCGTGCTCCTGGGCTTGTTTGATGGTACCTTGGATGAACTTGTTGAGCGCCCGCGAGCCACGCCGTTGGGATCGCTCATAGGTGCGACGCACGCGGGCCTCTTCGTCCTCGCCCATCAGCCAGTAGGTGCGCTGCTCGCCCTTGCCTTTCATTGAAATAATGCCACGCTCTTGGTAATGATAGCCCCCCAATCGGTCCAGAAGCTGCCGGCACTGCCAGCTACAGTGGATTTTTAACGGCACTCCGCTCGACTCCATGCGCGACGCCGTGTTGACCGTGTCTCCAAACAGGCAGTACCGTGGCATCTTAAGGCCCACAACACCTGCGCATACGGGACCTGAGTGTATGCCGATGCGAAGTAGTAGCCGATTGGTGGGCCGATGACGAATCTTAAATTCGGACACAGCGCTGAGCAGATGCAAGGACATTGTGGCGATCTCCGCGGCATGCAGATCACCGTTGCGCAAAGGCAGCCCAGATACGACCATATAGGCATCGCCGATGGTTTCCACCTGTTTCGAAGAATGAAGCTTTACCATATTCAACATTTCGTTATGCAAGGAAACTCACTTTGTAGACATCGTAATATCCAATGATGGAGTCGAAGCAGGTGTACAGATCATTAAGGAAGTCCACCACCTGAAGGGGCGAGCTTTCGGCCGACATGGCCGTGAATCCGACAATATCGCTGAAATAGATGGTTACTTGTTCATAGTGCTCAGGGTCCACTTTGTGTCCTTTCTTCAGCTGGTCGGCCACGCAGCGTGGCAACATCTCATGCAAAAGGGCATCAGTCTTTTTCTTCTCCTCTTGCAGCTGATCCGTGCGATCGTCCACGAGGGCCTCCAAATTGTTGGCGTACTTTTCCATCATAGCCATCATATTGTCAAAGATGTTCGGTCTCATTCCCTTGCGCAGGGGCCTTAGTTTGGTGCGTATGGTCTTAAACTCCGGTCGATCCTCGGGCCGCTCGGCCCAGCACTCCCGCAAACACTCGCTGACGCAATCGAAGGCGGTCTCGAGAGGCTGCAACGATGGGCGATAGGGATGGAGTTGATCCTGTGGCTGCATTACTTTCTGCAAGCATTGCATTGGCGTCAAGCCTGTCTCCCCAAACGGGCCACGCCGCACATGCATCTCGTACAGCAATATAGCAAACGAATACGCATCCCCGCGCTGTGTGCCCATAACCATCGATGAGGGCCCCTGCCTTAAAAGTTCTGGCGCTCGATAGAGTAGCTCTGGAAGAAAATCCGTAACTATATCAACTGTAACAATTAAGGCAAAAGACTCACTGAGGCACTTAGCCGACATGTGCTGCATGTCCGTGGAGCTGTCTTCGATGCCCTGCTTGAAAGCAAACAAGCCAAAGTCCGTCAACTTGACCACCCAACGCGAGTCTACTAGGCAGTTGGACGTGCACAGCGCCCCGTGGAAGCGAATGGGCGACTCGTGCAAGTAGATGACGCCCTGCGGAAGTCAGAATGCTGGGGTCAGATACGAACACGACAATCAGCGGGAGGAGATGCCATTAGTATAATGTTACACAGCAGCACTCACGCGTATAATGTCCGCCACCATGGAGGCAATGAACATATTGTCCAATTTGACGTCCTCGTTCTCCAGTATATCCTATAAATATGAAGAGTGGTTAGTCTGGGCTCTCGCCATACAATCAGCAACAGCAGATGACCGACCTTAAGGCTGCCACGAGTGCAATATTCGCTGATGATGCAGATATTGGGGGGTTCCGTGCAGGCACCGATAAAAGCGCAAATATTGTCGTGACGTGCATCCCTCAGCTATTTGCGAATGTGAATGAAATTAAGTCTGCCATAAGTTTGGAGATTAATTTGCTTACAAGCTTCAATTCCTTCTTCATTTCCCGTGTGATGTCCACGCTCTTTTTTCGAACTTTCTTTATGGAATAGAGCTGGCCCTTGTAGAGTCCGATGGGCGTGAAGATAGTCGTATAGCGAAAGTCGGCGTCGGGGTTAGAGCTCAGGCTAACCTGGCTGGTGCGGATAAGGGGATGAGTTGACTGCGGAGGAAGATGATGTGGCAATTGATTTATGAGATTCTGTCAAACGTGAAATAGCAGAGTATCGCTCAGACATTGAGTACCATCGAAGTAAGAACATAAACAGACAATATGCAATTTTGTGCATATACATACAACATATATTAGCTAAATTAAGGGATAAGTCAGTGTCTTTTTCCCATTTCTATCTACCATTCATTCCAACTTATAGATATTCATGAATAAACAATCATAAGATAATCGTATATAATTTTACAACTGATATAATTTTATTTCAGACTTCCACCAATACTACATATTAACGAAATAGTTATCGCTTTTTTAACAAACGACGTACGGACCTGCGAGCTCATATACTTTCTGAGATCGAGGATTTCATACTTACGGACGGACGGACAGACAGACAAAAAATCGATTCAGCTTACCGCCCTAATCAAGAATGTATATGTATATATAATAGAGCTGCATTGAAGGTAGGTAGCCAATCACAACTTACTCGTGTAGCCTTTTGTGTCTGCTGTTCGCGCTCATTGTCGTGAACCTGAACCTCGCGAAAGTCAATTTTCCAGAGGAGGCTATCCAACTCCTGTTCGTACCTCCAGTTGCGATAGAGAACCAACGAGACAACGCCCAACAGGAGAAGAGCGCCTCCAGCGATGCCTGCCGATATTTCGCCAGTATAATCTAAAATTTAGGAATGAGGGTAAATAAGATTACTGGATTTAATATTTTGCAAATAGAAACGCTCTGAGCCCAGTGAAGAGCTGATATTTCAATCATTATACACCTCTTTTAATATCATTACTGTGTAGAATTCAATTCTTTGAAAACTTCATTATTAACAAGTAAGAAAGCTCTAGTCGAGACTGCTCGACTACGAGATCCCCTGAACCCTTCAAGCAACACACACACCCACACACACATTGAATAATTTAAATTCTAGACGTACAATCTTAATGAAACTTTCAGAACGTAATCATAATGATTAAATGTATGTATATACCGAAGCAAAAGTCTTAAATACTTGAAATACGCCTTTTATGATAACAAAAATCGAAATTGTTTAAAATGCATCTTATACATTTTAAATTTGGAGACTACCTTTAAAGATGTGCGAGACATCATTTTATAAGTGATTTTCGATAAGGTTTGTTTATCGATAAAAATATCGGAATGAGTTATCGTTTTTTATCAGCGCGATAGTCTTGAAGTCTTAGCTCTTATATCTTCTGAGATTGACGCGTTCATACATACGGACAGACAGACGGACAGGGCCAAATCGACTCAGCTCGTCGTCACACCCCCTTCCCTTTTACATACATTTTAGCAAAACCATTATACCCTGATTTCCCATTTCAATGGATTTCCCATTAGTTGGCGTTTCTTATAAAAGATATATTTAAGAATAGACAACAGACGGGACAGTCAAACCTATGTTTGTATACTATTAATATATTTTCTTTATAAATTCGTATTGCTAATGGGTTCAGATCATAGAAATAATGAAATAATGAGAAGGGTTGATTTGAAATGTAAGTAACTTACTGACGCATTTCTCGCCACCGAAACCACAACGGGGAGCAGCCGCGGGGCGCACACCACCAACCCAATTGATGCTGCGATACAAGTTCAAGTCCTGCAGAGTTAAAAGGGAAGTATAATTAGCCTTTGAGAAGGGACCAGACTGATAATGTGTCTTTGCTATGCCAAAAGCGCTTACCTGCTCCTGGATGGCAATTGTAAAAAGGCAATGTTTATTTTTGTTTATAAAAAAAATACGACCAAGACTGATGTAGGATTACTTACCGGCAAAGCCTCACTTGTTCTATTACTAGTCTTATGGCTGAAGGTTCCTACGGGAAGGAGACCCAGAGCCGTCTGGTTGCGACTGTTGCGGAATGTTCCTCTTGCTAATACTGTGTAGTTGCCAGCAGCGTCTCCATTTTCATCTATGTACACATGATAACTGTGCATTGTGCGTAAAGAGGGTCAGTGGAAATGCTGTCTCGCTTGCTAGGATACTCACCCCATAGCGCTCAGATAGCGCGAGCCTTTGATGGCCGACACAATGAGACTGCCATTTCTAGGCCTGCCACCGGAATTTAAGACGGACACCAATGCATTAGCGTAGAGATGTACGGCATCATACAGATAGGCTGCCTCAGCGCTTATCTTGGGAAGAATTGCATTATTAGATTGTGAACGGGCCTTGAGACAATAGCGGGGAGGACTCGGACTAACCTGTTTCGCGCCACCGAAGAGACCCAATGGGTTGGGGAAATTGAATGGCGGCCGCTCCATGTACCTGTTCACCTTCACAGAGCACGCCAGAAGCACGACAAAAACAAATGTTTGGTAGTAGCGAGAAAAAACGGCAGTATTTTTAGGAACGGATGTATCGCTTAACCAGGACGTGCCCGGGGAACGTACCTCATTGGCGAATGTGGCGAAGGAAACAGGCGCTGTGGGAACTACACCGAGATAGGACTGAAATGCTTGCGCCGCCAATGGCTCTACTTTCTCCATCAAAAGGCCTCGCAGATACTTTTCTGGCTTGACTGGATCATATTGCTCAATATCGATGCCAACCACAAAATAGTCTCCACGAGAAAGTAGACCCCTCTGCTGCAGGCTGACCATGAGACCCACGTGCTCATAGTAGTGTCCAAGAACTAGATAGACTACGAACAAAATGCGTCAGGATATCCAATCACAATTTGCGTATGCCAATACTTACTACGAGTATTCGCATGGGTTTCATCCACCAGCTTATCAAACGGATTGGCCATAAAGCCGTGATGGTAAATCGTGCTCCACGTACGAATATCCCGCACAATTACTCCTGCGCCGCTCAGTGTGGCGAGTATGGTCTCCGCCACGGGCTGGTACTGACTGCTGGTATCGTCCAGGTAGAGAAAACTCACCTGTGTCCAGTTGAGGGCCAACAGCAGAGCCACCACTGATTTCGAGATCTGCGTGTCCGGTGGTCGGGTCCTAGCGAACGTCGGAAAATCCAGTTTGTTCGACGGATCTCTATGTGTGCAGTACTGTCATTATTTGGGTGGGAATTGAATAAATGATCAACAGTTCTGCGACATTGTAAGCTATAGATTGGCACCTACATAGGATATCATTGGCAGATTAAAGGCAGCTGCCATGCGGCCCTCGTGAACGCAAGTCTCCTGTGGTCCAATATAAGCAGCCACCTGCTGCGTCCACAATGCCGCTGTTTGTCGTATGCTGGCGACTTCGTCCCCATAGGTCTCCGCCACAACGAACTCGAGCGAGTGGCCCAGGTCGCCCAATTTCCCAGCGTTGACCTGCTCCACCGCGAGCGATATAGCACCCGAAATCGTGATGCCAGGTCGCTGGTAGTCCAGGTTTCCCGGTCGACGTTGGGAGCCCGTCAGATAACCCAAGGTAAAGACCTCCCCATAGCAAGTGGGGCACTGGTATAAGCAGAGCAGGAAGAGCAGCAGCCCAGAGTGGCGTAGAAGGTGTTGACTGCTCGGAGGGAAAGCGATACGGGGTGTACTCATTACGTGCCACGAGGGTTGCGTAAAGCTGACTTCAGGCAGTTCTTTGAGAATGCAGTCGCTTCGTTTAATTTAATTGCTCTTGGACGGTAGTAGCTCCTCTGCTGACAGTGTCACGATAAGTCAAGGATCTTCGGCGAGTTGCAACATTTTTGTTGAATTTACAGCTGCGGCAACAGCTCTATTGCCCTCTAGTTGTCCCTCTCCTCCTAGCGATATTTCTGTGGGAGACATTGACATACTTAATTCGCTTATCCTGTTCCTTCAAAGCTAATATTGCTCACAAAATAAAATTCATAAGATGCATATTTTGTGGCCTCACGTTGAGTGCTTAAGAAGTTATGATTATTTCATTAAGATTTATTCAATCTTCAGTCTGCCTAAACGCTCTACAAAACAGTCTACAAAATCAGAGCTAACAAATTCAATGCTTCACTAATACATATGTATGTATGTACATAGTAAATAAAGCACTCACACATACACACCCACGCATAATAACACGCTCTGCTTACTGCGCAGCTTACGTATTGTATTTATTTATTGAGTAACCTAATCAAGTTTTCAGAGTCTACTAATGGCATTAATATGTTCGTGTTTACGAAAGCACAGTCTCCACTGTTATGAAAAAATCTTTGGGTTCATTACACGGATCTGTACAGTAAATCAAGCCAAGCTTAAAAAACTATTTCAAGTTATGGACTGATTGATAATGAGTAAATACGATGAGCTATCGATAATGCGTATGGTATACACACTATGCAAACAATATAACCATATGGCTGCTGGTATATAAGAGAATAATATATTTTAAATTTCACGGCATGAGCTTACAAGATTGCTGCGTTTACGTTGACAAATAAAAACATATAAATGCTCTAAACAGTCGATTAAGAAATTCCATCCAAGAAAAGTAAATGAACAATTAATTTCCCACATGCACAGCCCAAGCATAGTTGCCGGGCTCTGGGTATCTTTTAGTGGTTTATATACCCTGAACCCATTGAAAATGGGAAATCAGGGTATAATGGTTTTGTTAAATGTAACAGGCAGAAGGAGGCGTGACAGACCCCACAAAGTATATATATTCTTGAT